CCTCCTCCTCAGCTTGAATGTTGCAGTTCCGCTAGCACCAACCTCCAGCTTGAGCTTGGTGAAGCCTCTGAGTTGCTTTGGTGGAGAGTTGGTAGATGCAGGGTAGCCTAGATACAGCTGCGGTACCTCTGCACCAGCAACACCACCAGAGTTGGCAATCTTGGCAGTCACTGTAGCAACGGTCTCGAAGAGATCCACGGGGCCTCCAGGTCCTACAGCGCCAGTCGCAGGACCAGCAGAAGGCTTACCAGTTATGGCGAGATCTGAGTAGGTGAAGTTGGTGTATGAAAGTCCAAATCCAAATTCAAACCTGGGTGTGATGTTCTGCTTGTCGAAATAGCGATAGTCGATGAACAGATCCCAGGACTTGTCGTCGCCTCTGGCAATTGTGGTGCCGTAGTCAGACTCTTGCTTCGCAATGGTGTAAGGAAGCTTGCCGCTTGGCGACGCTGCGCCATAGATGATGTCGACAACGCCGTTGCCGGGCTCTTGGCCTGGGAGACCTGCCCACACTACTGCAACAACGTTGGGGTTCTCAATCCACTGCTCCATGATGATTGGCCCAACACTGTGAACGACAACGACCGTCTTCTTGTTCACGGCAGCAACTGCCTTGACAAGCTCATTGCCATTGTGCCAGGGGTCTAGGTTGTTTCGGTCGCCGGCGTTACCTTCAACGGTGATGTAGCCTTCGCCAGCGTTGCTGTTAATGCATACCACGGCAACCTCTGCATTCTGAGCTGCGCTAGCACCTTGCTGGGCGTTGTCGGTGGGCGACGAAGTAACCGTCGTACCGTCTTTTTGGGCCTGTGTCTTGATGGCATCCAATGGCGCGACCATATCGAGTGGAAGTTCAACTGATCCCGAACCCCAGCCCATGGTAAGAACACCCTCAGTGCATCCGCGGTCGACACAAGCATTGGGCCCGCGGGGTGCAACAATACTGTCAGTTCCAATGACTGCAATGCTCTTTGGCTTCTTCAGAGGTAGCGCTCCATTGGCGTTCTTCAGCAGGATAGTGCCGTCTCGAGCAGTCGCTCGGACATTGGTCTTGTGGTTCCCACTGATTACTTTTGATCCAATGGTCCAGGAGTTGAAGGAAGTCGCGGGATAACCCTTATCCTGGCCCAAAAGGTACCACGCAGCAAGGACTCGCTTGACCATGTCATCGAGCCGTGATTGCTGAACCTGACCGTTGCTAATGGCGGTCTTGAGTTGCGGTCCCCAGAGCACGTTTCCGCCGCTAAAATCACTGCCGGGCATGGTCATGTCCAGGCCACCATTTGCACTGCCAGTAGTAGTGTGTTGCGCTGAAACCATGTTAGCTAGGTTTGATCCAAGCACATTCACTTTCTACATACCATTCCAATCCGACATGATGTATCCACGGTGGCCAAGCTCGTCTTTCAAGAGTTTTTGCATAACGCCTTCGCTTTCACAGGCCCATGTTGAGTTGAGCTTGTTGTAGCTGAAGCATGTTAGTATCAATTTGAAAATACCATGGTGTCATAAAGTCCACTTACCTGCACATGAATGCCGCAACCTTGCTGTGAGCGGCGTCCGCGAATGGCCAAACATACAACTCGCGCAGAACCCTGTCGCTCACATCAGAGCTCATAGTGTCTCGGTTGAGCTCTTGTTCGTTCACAATCCAATGCTTAGCAGTGGCCTGAACACCAGCTTCTTGCATGCCCTCAATGGTCTGCGCCATCATGATGCCTTGGAGGTAGGGATCTGATCCGAATCCCTCCCAGTTACGGCCGCCCTTGGCAAACTTACCCAGAGGACCAGCAGACGGACCTAGCTGCACGTGGATACCCAATTGCTTTGCTTCGTTGCCGAGAAAGGCACCTCTTTCACGGATGAGATCGATATCCCAAGTACTGGCAGCATGGATGCCAGCTGCAAAGGCGGTTACACCCCGGACATAGCGGACACCAAGGGGGCCATCTTTGTGCTGTTAGTTAGACGGTTTCCGCAGAATATATGCAGGCTACAACATGTTCTGCGACCACAATGAATCTTGCATCACATACTGTAGTACCGGAGTGCGGGTTGGCTTAATTCATATGAAATATGTATGCTTACCTTGTAGACATAACTCAGGGTATCCAATCGAGCTGGCAGCCTTGGTGTTACCAACACAGTTACTCTTCGACCAGCCAGTACCCGTAACAATTCCAATCTTATCATCTTGCGATAGCTTTGCGAGTGCTGCTGTTGCCTTTGTGTATGCATCATCCCAACTGCCCACTGCACGTTTCGAAGCAGGCTGGTCGAAAGGGATGGCTGATGGTGTTAGTAGCTATCATGATGTGCAAAGTAGTAAATGTGCACCTGTAGACAGCGCTGCCGTAGCTAGCAACGGGAAGATGGCAGACCGCATTGTTGGAGATGTCGAGGCCTTGAATTCAATGAGGTCGTCTACCACATGCACCACATAGCGGCAAGTCACCCCTTTAAGTACTCAGACTTTATTTCTCCTGCGGAACTTGTGAGCCGAAGCAAGGGCATCTTGCCAAATTCATCACTTGGCATATTGTGGCAAGAACCGGAGTAGCCTTGTACATTTCCCATACCGAGAAGGGAGCGACTAAATGACGTGTGATGTAAAGTGTTGATCGGTATGTTTGATGAGGCGGTAGAAGGGATATATGGTGGCGGGCCGTTGTTCCTAGGGTTAACAGCCGGCGAACAGGGGATATAGCGAATAGGAAAATGGCATGTTGCATAACAAGTGGAGAAGTCACTACGGATGCAATTGCCGTCTAGTCGAGGCCCAAGAAGGTTGCGGGGAATCAGCGGTTAGATCCTGTGATGAGCAATGAACTGGACTAAATTGATCAGGTGGCGGCTTCTTCTATTCGCGCATAGTTTCGGAGTATGAAGAACGTCGTGGTTTGCGACTAATATTTCAACAAAGCCTCTTGGTGTAGAAGCCAGCATAAAATTCGACATTCACATGTTGTGGAATGTTAGGGACCGTTTACTTAAGTGCTCAAGTGCCGCTCTGGTATGCCTTGGCGCACGCTCATGCGACCTCTTTTTGTAGTCAATCCCGACAGTTTGTAAGGTAAACAAGCTGTGCTACGAGCTCCACATGACACGACAGACTGCATCATCTGATTTTCCGGTCAGGAGGGAGAATGAAAATCCGCGTAGGTTTAGGAAGTGGACTTTGGCGCGAAATTGGCGATGCACAGTGGAACAAGTGGCTGATGGGTATGTATGTTCCCCGCTCTACGTCTCCATAACGGCGGACTTGGCGTCGGATCTGGAGTAACCAGGGTCTTTTACTTCACATGTGGGCGAGTAACAATGGTGTCGGGAACTTTCAGCGAACGGATGAGTAAGCTGCGTATTGACAGTCGCTGTCTGTACGCAGACAATACGCGCATGATGGCTTTTCTTCTGTGCACTTGCGTCTTCGCTCTTTGCAAGGAAGACACCCATTCTTTGATCGCTGCTTCTTCGGAGCCAAGACGCCGTACTGGCATGTCCAGAGACCTCTTCGACATTGATCGCAAGCGGGCTGCGCCTTGTCGCACTTGATCTTCTTTTCACGACAGCGGATGCACGCCTTGTCCGGGGCCGGTAGTGGCGGCCTTGATTGTTCGCTGACAGCAACCTTCTTTCGAGGTCTGGCAGATGGGGTGAGCGGGTTTGCCTTTGTACTTTGCTTGGGGGATGTAGTCGGGATAGGCTTAGACGATACGGCAGCACCTTCCCTTTTGCGCTTCTTTGCCGATGGCCTTGGGTATACTGGAGAAGTTGATATTCCAGGACCAGTATTTCGGTGTTCGTTTTCCACACCAGCCTCGGCTTCTTTACTACGTCTCTTTTTTCGTGGCGGCTTTTCATGTGCGCCTCCAGCTAGAGGCGCGATGTTATTATCCACGGCTGGCGCAAGTGGGCTACGGCAAAGTCAGTTGTGGGAACGAGCCGGGCGGCTACGTGCGTAAGGGGAACGCAAAAGTGTTTGCTCAGCAGGTTCATCTCTGCAACTTACCCGTCGCTGGCTAGACGTGCCGTGTGTATAGGGTTATGCTTGTATACGACATTTATCGCTTCCCGCCTAAGAGAGAATTTGATATGTACTGCCCCCCCGCAGTCATAGGTAGGCAATGCGCCATGTCGGTTTTTTTCAGCCTCAACATCACTTCCATCAGAGTCATGTGACGCCTCTTTCTTCTTGTTGCTTTTGCGATATCTGTTCTGCATGCTGTCTAAACAGACATACCTGAACCTCACGCCATCACCGCCATCTTTGTTCAGAGCTGAGCGCTCAGAGTAAGCAAAACTATCTGTTTCTTGGATGGTTGCAATGATGGATCTGTATTGGATGAGTCAATGTGTTGCAGCGCAGGCAGAAAGGCAGGTACCTCGCAATGGCCCGCTGCACCTGAAGGCGTTGTTTGCCATGGATGGTTTTGCATAGTGCATGCTCGACGGCAATGCTTTGGAGATGGTCGGCTGGCTCTATCAGAATATCAAGATTGAGTTGCTGGGTCACGGGTATTGTGATGGTCGAAGCAGGTGCAAAGATAAACTCGGTGACGACATGAGTGGGAATGAAGCTGGCAGCACTTTTGTCCACCTCGTTGCGCAGTGCTCCTGCGAGGGACTAGGCAGAGAAGACCTTAGCTGAATCGGGGGAGGGTGAAGGAGAGTCGGTTACTTCAAGGGTTGGACAACGATAGTAGACGTCGGGATCGAGGCCCTTGTGGTAGCGCAGATCCAGCTCATCTTCGAGCTGGTCCATGACAGCAGGTTCACGAGCCACGGCACGGTGAATCGAGGGTGGATGCTGGGGTTGTGCTGTTTTGGCTGTTCTGCTCTTTCTGCTCCTGTTCACACTGCACATGTGAGGCGCAACAAGATGGGGACTCGGGGGCCCAAGCTTTACGGGCCGAGTGTTCCTCCATGATGGCGCTAGGTGCTGATTGGCGGGATCGACTGGGGCTAGAGTTGCCCTGCAGCGTTGGACAGGCCTAGGCAGTTTAATCGAGTGAAGCGTCGGCTACGGGACCCAGCTGCAGCACGCAGCGCATGGCATCATCCATGGAGGGAGTCGAGACATGTCTTTCTTGGGCGAGCACATGCATGGCAGGGCGGCAGGGGAGTAGGCTATGTTGCGGGATTAGGCCGAGGGTAGATAGATGGATGAACTTGGGGGTGGGGGAGCAGAGCCGACTCGGGCAGAGCAGGGCAGAGCAGAGCAGAGCACGGCACATGGCGGCACAGTACAATAGTAGAGTAGAGTAGAGTAGAGTAGAGTAGAGTAGAGTACAGCACAGCACAGCACAGCAAAGCAAAAAGTACGTAAAGCAGCCACGGCGTGGACATGGACAGGCAAGGCGATCAGCCACGTTGTTGGAGGTGCACGGATGGCGTCAAATCTGGGGCGGCCGAGTGGCGTGTCAGGGGTGTGCAACTGTGAATGCCACGAGAGCATGTCGACCGCATACATGGGCGAGTTGTGCTGCGTCTATCAAGCCAATGCTAATCTCCGGTAGTAACAGCTGCAGCACTGTGGGCTTAGGAGCCGCCGCCGCGCGTTGAGAGAGAGAGAGAGAGAGAGTGTGTGTGTGTGTGTGCTATGCTGGTTAATCTCGTGTGGTTGGGGGTCTGGCCAGCAAAACGGTCCACCGTCCACGGTCTACATACAGCACAAGGAGGAATTGTGCAGCCGCCCAGTGTGCAGCATGTACACAAGTCGACGTCTATGTACGGATTTGGATCCTTTGTACATACATAGACACTTCCCGTACATATACAATCTGCGCCGGTCCCGAGCTACGGGCGGGAGCCGAATGCAAGGTTCTGATAACAGTGCTAGACCGACTTTCACTGATTGGCCTCTTTGCGCTGGCCTGCCCCAAGGGCCCTCCGCTACCGTAGGCGCATCTCGCAACCTCACTCGAGCCCCATCCCAGGCCTTCAACGTCTTCCCTTCCCTCTTGTCATCCTCGCCTCCCCGCCGCTGGCTGCTGCGCCCGTGCTGTCTCTCTCCGGTCGCGTGCCTCGTCACTGGCACTGCCTCACCTGCCCGCCACATCTTCCGCCCACCGCCCGCAAGCCCTCTCTACCCACCGCCTTGCCTTGCCTTGCCCTGCTCCTCCGACCTCAGCGCAGTCTAACGTTTCGAGTTTCACCCTCCTCTCTCTCTCCCCCTCCCACCGATTCTCGCGCCGCTGCCGCTGCCGCCCGTCTGCACGACGAGTCCCAGGTAGGCCTGCCCGACTCTGCTTGTCTTCGCCCTCGTCGTCGCATATACTGTGAGACTGACCAGCCGGCCTGCTCAGACCCTCTCCACTCATTTTCGACCCCTCGTTTGCATAACACCTTGCGGCTCTAGCTCCAGCCCGTAGCTCCATCTCCGCATTACCGCCTACTTAGTCCCCAGCGGCCGACCCCGACTCTCCGTCACCGTTTCTACGCCACTGTCAAACACGACATTACTGCCCTCGGAACCGGTCCTTGCAACCACCACCACCACCACCTCCTCCCACGCCTCTAGCTGTGCCCTACCCCCTCTCCCTCCACCATGGTTGTCGCGACAATCAAGTATGTCAAGCCCTACGCCCTCGACCCTCGCCCTTGGCACTCCTCACTAACCACCATCCACTTGCAGGTGCGTCGTCGTCGGCGACGGTGCAGTCGGAAAGACATGTCTTCTCATCAGCTACACCACGAACAAGTTCCCCTCAGAATATGTTCCTACCGTCTTCGACAACTACGCCGTGACCGTCATGTGAGCCCTCCTTTGCTTTTCCCCCCCGCTCGTACATCTGGAAAAGCAATGCATGCTCCTGGCGCACCAGGGTTTTGGGCCGCCTGTTATTGGTGGAGCAGCTGCTGACTGCGTTGAAGGATTGGAGACGAGCCCTATACGCTTGGTCTTTTTGACACTGCCGGACAAGAGGATTACGACCGTCTCCGACCCTTGTCCTACCCCCAGACAGACGTCTTCCTCGTCTGCTTCTCCGTCACCTCACCCGCTTCTTTCGAGAACGTCCGCGAGAAATGGTTTCCCGAGGTGCACCACCACTGCCCCGGCGTGCCGTGTCTAATCGTAGGCACACAGGTAGATCTGCGGGAGGATGCGTCAGTAAAAGATAAACTGTCCAAGCAGAGAATGGCCCCTGTGAAGAAGGAAGACGGCGAGCGAATGGCGCGCGAGCTTGGTGCTGTCAAGTACGTCGAGTGCTCGGCGCTAACTCAGTTCAAGCTCAAGGATGTTTTTGACGAGGTAGGTGGACATGACCAGTTGCCCACTTCCCCTGATGCTAATCCCAGTCATAGGCAATCGTAGCAGCACTCGAGCCACCGGCGACAAAGAAAGAAGGTGGAGAAAGAAAGAAGGGGAAGAAGTGCAGCATACTTTGAACATGGGTGAAGGCGACAGTTGAGCTCAACCGCATGCTAGGGAGCGTTGGATTGCAGATCTTTCTTGATTAGGCGATGAATCTTTTGGATACCTCTTCGAATACAGGCGCCATTTGTGGGTAGCGATCTTTTTCTTCTGCCGTTACCAGGCTCGTTTTCATTCTGCACTCTACATATTGATCTGGCTGGCATACGGGCACTGCACAGTGCTCGGACGACAGTCAATTCGAACATCACATTCCAGTTTCCATCTACAGATGCATCCATGTTCCCAATTCGAGGCCGTCTTGCTTGTAGACAGTTGGGGCCTACTACAGTGCCTCTGGTGCTGTGGTTGGCACCAGAGAAGCAGAGTTTTGCCCTCCTTTCACTTTTTCCAGTACGTCATTTCTAGACTATACACGTCTCGTTTGTCTTCAAAGTCGAGGTGAGTGAGGCGTGCGTTTGTTGTCGCCACTGTTGCCTGTGGCAGCACTTTGTATACAGCAAAGACGTCTCTGTCCAGCAACAACCTCTCTCTCCACACACACCCGCAGTCGAAGAACCTCCGGACGTGAACGACTGTGACTTGACAATTTGAAAGCGCTAACCAGTGTAAGCAGTGACAGATAACAGAGCTTTTCACTTCGCCCAAGTCAATACCATAGGGTGTGTTCACTCTCCCTCTTCACAGCCATCCGCGGCAGGCTCACACACAAAACAGAGTCTTTCACCAGAAGGCTGCCAGATATGTCTTTTCGCTTCGGTGAAGAGGAGGAACGCCCTCCGCCTCTCCCTCCCTACCTACCCCCCCTACCGCATCAACTCAGTCGACCTTGGCCAGATGCTAGACCTGTGAGCCAACAGAAACCTCAGCGACATGCTCGTAATAGATCAAACTCTGTTCGACAGGAGCAGTACTCGACTGACGCTACCTTAATGACTACACCTGTGGATCTGGCTGGGACACGAACTCAGCACTCAGCTCCCGGTAGGAGCCGCAACGCCATGGCTACGCTCAACAATCTCATGGAACAGGCGCGTGTGTCATCTCCAATCAAATCAGACCGCGGCTCTACAGCAGGAAGCCGCCGTGGCTCAACGTCACGGTCAAAGCAGTCAGGTCGCAGTCAGCAGAGTGCCATGACTGCTCAAGCCCAGCTTGAAGCCCTTGACCAGAAGACAGCTCGAAGTGAGATTGAGTCGCGGTCGGAAAGAAACTTCTTCAAGATGACTGGACAGATACCGCCTACCCCGACTACCGGTGAGTTAGTAATTTCTATTCAAGAGGTGTAGACTAAAAGACAAAAGGTGAGTTGAACGAGGACGACGTCTATGTCAGGACAGAGGATCTACGATCACAGTGTCGGGCTACCAACACAGAGACGGAAGGAGATCAAGACGAGGCAACCAAGAGTCCCAAAAAGAAGCTTTTCCAAAACATCCGCAACCCGTTCTCCAAGTCATCTAGCTCCATAGCCCCGCCGCCGATGCCGTCCAAAGCAGCCCAAGTGTTGGGTACAGCAGCACGACAGCCCCGTGTTGTCCAAGTCCGCCCCATCAAGCCGGCAGTGCCTATTCAACCAAGACCTGCAAAGCCATCTCGCTCGGAAACCGTAAAGTCACTGCCTACCAAGGTCATCAACCCTGATAGCTACGCTCATCGCCACCGCTATGGTCCGTCACGACGCAGCCCTACGACCGGACAAGCCTCGCCTGATAGATATGGTCTCAAGATGCAATCATCTGATGCTGAGAATTATTCTCCAAGGTCTCCGTTTGTTGTGTCGCCGAACTCCATAATTCCACCGACACCACCTGCCAAGGACACTCCTCCAAACCAGAGGCCTGCGAGTCCGCTTCGTAGGGTAGCTCCCGCTCAAGACCTTCGTCAAAGCTACGACCAAAAAGGTGAAAAGAGCCCGCAGTTGCACTTCCCAAACTTCGACTTGTCACCATCGCCATTCTTGGACCCCTTCCCTAAGAACAGTGGCCGTAGTCCAGCAAAATTTCGCCCTTACGACGCAGAGGATTATACAAAGTTGATAGTGGGTGAGGCGTTGACATGGCCTTACCCTGAGCGGATTGATTCGCGGACCAGGCTTGAAGGCAAGTGCAGTGCTCCGCTGGAAGGCACTAGTCAGAAGGCATCGCTCCTTCCTCGTCCAGACCGCAGTACTGAGGACCACCAAAGCAGCATTTACAAGCAGAACAGTTACAGCCCACTCAAGCCTCGCTTCTACTCCCCTAAAGACATTCCTGCCCACGGGTTTCTGGAGGGTGAGACACCGTCCAAAAATGTGAGTCTACCATCATTGCTGCATTTTGCCTCCACTCAAAGTGGAGCGGCGTTGCCTCGCGGACTCGCACGCACCCTCACCTTCACCTCGATTACTCCGCTTCCCATTGAGTAAACACATCGTTCCATGGACAAACACTGACAATACCCCTCAGACCGACGCTAGCCGCTTCGTATACTCACTCCCTTCTGAGTTGAAGTCACAACCGCACCTACGCAAGGTCTCCACGAGTGGCTCCATCAGAATGGTCTTCCAGGGTGACCCAAGGGATATTGATCCAAACTCACCAACTGCACGAGAACTTTACCAGAACCAACAGCGTACTAGGGCAGAGGGTATACAGCCTGACACTGGAATCACGACACGCGTCATGCAAGAGCTTCGCATCAACGAGCGTTGTGACCCTACGCCACACAACAATAGCCATGGCGGTCATTCCCACCCAGATCAGTCGTGTTCACGGCTCACTGACATGTTGGATAACGTCAGTCCTATTGGAAGCGAGTCACACGGCGACTTCCGGCCTCACTGTCTTAGTGCTGTTCCTAGCCCACTGCACAAAGCACCAGTGCTAGTCCCTACAGCCCGGCCGTTGGTGCCTCCTAATGTTAACTTTGTGCCCTTTCCACCACCTCTTTCGCCCAAGAGCATTGATGACCATTTCTTCATGACGAATGAGCACCTGGATGTGGTGGGCAAGACCACCTGGGATCTTCTCGAAATGTTTAGCAAGCAGCACAAGAACACGTCTAAGGAGAGGCATGAAGAATTGGTGGCGTTGTTCAACAAACATTATGATGACTTCAAGTCCCAATTGAATAAGCTTGAAGAAAATGTCATTCGTATACACGAGTACATGAGTCGCTTCGACAGTATCACGACCAACCACGACAACGTCTACGCTACCCTCGATCTGCTCAAGAATAACATCAACGAGGGCATTCCCGATACTCTCACGGATCAAGGCAAAAAGATGGCGAGCATGGAATCAGAAATCAAGGAGCTGAAGCAGATGTTGCAGGTCATGCAAAAGTCGTCAGAGGAGAAGGCGGGTCAGCTCTGTATTGCCAGCGGACAGAGCAGTACTCCAAACAAGAGTTACCCTCAAGGCTTTGCTGGAAATCATGGTCCTGTCTCTGACGCGGGCAATGTGGTCGATAACCGCGGCATGATGTCGCCTCCAGATGTTGCCAACGATGGTCGTGTTGGATACCAGGGTGGACAGTGGGCTGCGCGTGCCGGTTATCTTGGGCGCAATAGCAAAGAAGATCGCCCTTCATACCCAACGAACCCTTACCACTTTGCCAGTGGAGGTCACTTTAACGCGGGATACTCTGGCAGCAGCTACTCTCCTTTCGGTTACTCTCCTTCCTCATCTGACCAACAGTACCCGTTTAACTCCAACCACGGACAGACGAAGTGAAGTCGAAAAGGGGACTAGATGCCCCTCCTAATTAGCCATGACAGATGGAAGAAAAGAAAGCAGAAGGCGCTCGGGCTTTCGAAGAAAGAAGACTGCATTAGCGAGGTTGGGTTCGGGCGAGATGTAGTAAGGTTCCGGGCTAGTCTTTTGTTAAGATTTTGTATTATAGTTAATGAAGCAGAGGGTCCCCGGATGGCATAAGGTATGTACTTTTATAGGGCATTAGGGGGGAGCCAAGCAAGTAGGTTGACGAATAGAAGAAATAGCAGTGACAACGAGGTTCTGTGCCATGGCGCGACGGGCGGCATCTATGCATGGTGGAGGAAAGGGAGAGGGTGGTGCGGTTCTCGTGATTGTGGTGACCAGGGAGACATGAGCCGCACACAGTCAGTCTGTCACTCAATCAGTCGTCAGCCGCCCCATTGCGTGCCGATCGGCGGTACAATGGGCGAGACTATTGCCTGTTTGAAGGTTATCAAGATTGCCGGCCGGTTGTGCCCTAGTGTGGCAGCCTTTGCAATGGAATGGGCAGGGCTGGATGCAAGCTATGGGGGCCGACGCTGGGAGGGGATGCGCTAGGGATGCCACACGAGGCGCACGTCCATGTTTAGCATTACCCGCAGACCGTAGACCGACGACTAATGGACGAGCCACTCCTTTGTGTCCCGCCGCCGCCGCAATACAACACCATGGAGGGCCCAGCGTCAGCCTCTCCTGGCCCCGCGCCTCTACCTTCTTGCGCCGACCAAAGGGCCGCCGCTGCTGCTGTTGCTGCTGACACGCCCAACCAGGAGCACAGCACCCTTGCAACGCCCACCACTGCCTCATCACTGCTGTCTGCCGCACACCCCAATGCTACCTCGACCCTCACGCCCTCGGACCTCTCGTTTGAACCCGGCACCACGGATCCCTCGCTGCCCAGATACCACGTTCGCGCTCCCTCGACGGCACTCAAACTAGACACGGACCTTGCCATCTCAAAGTCAACTTCATCGCGGGCGGCTTCGCTCGATCCCGCCAATCTGGACGCCAACGGGAGCGACGCGCTGCGTCAGTCGGCCACGGCGCCGATTCCCATCCAGGACGGCTACCTGAGGACAGCCTGGTCGACTGCGAGCCTGGGTTCGCTGTCGCCTGGCTCAGCAATATCCTCGCCCGCACTCAACGCGCTGGGCGACATCACCCCGCTCCCCTCCCCACTGGTGATGGGCGACTCACCTGGCCCATGGCAGAGAGCCGAACACCGACCTCGCTCCCGGGGCTTCTCGGGCGCTTCTCGCGATGACTCGGTAGCCATGTTCGCCAAGGGCACGCTGTCGCCCTCGCCCTCTCTCAAGAAAAAGGGTTACTCGGGCCTCAAGGCCGCCGCCATCGAGGCCGCCGCTGCAAACTCGCACCAAAAGAACGAGGCTGCACGCGAACGCAACAGGAGCGTGAGCGAGTACACACCCGACCCAATGCACAACGCCCGCCCTCGTCATGTCACAATCGGCAACACCGCCGCAGAACCAGATGGCGCCGCCGCCCAACACCGCATGAGCCGCGAGACATATCTGGCTACACAACGGGGTCTGGTCCCCGCAAAAGTCCCAGCTGGGCTTCCTACTCCCCCTGCAAGCAACGCTAGCAACCGCAGTGTTACTGACACCGAGGAAGAGGATGTTACCGACGAGGACAAGAAGCAGTACTTGGTTGTACGAAGTGGTCCCCAAAAGACAAAGAAGCTCTGGCGTCCTGTCCGTCAACTCGGCCAAGGTACATTTAGCAAGGTCTACTTAGCCACTTGCGAAAAGACAGCAGCCAAGGATCCTCTCGACGAAACCCTTTTGGACCCACGGAAGCTGGCCGCCATCAAGGTCGTCGAGCATGGTCCGGCTGGTGGTGCCGACGAGGAACGAGTAGAACTGAGCCTCAAGCGAGAAGTTGAGATGCTTCGATCCGTTTCACACCCGTCGCTTGTCCATCTGCAAGCTTTCGATCACGATGACGCCCAAGCCCTGATTGTCCTCTCATACTGTCCCGGTGGTGATCTCTTTGATGTAGCCAGTGACCATCGCGACAAGCTGACCCTCGGCATTGTCCAACGCATATTTGCTGAAATGGTCAGCGCCGTGCGTTATCTGCATTGCCAACTCATTGTGCACCGCGATATCAAACTAGAAAGTACTGCTTCCACTCTCTCACTCTCACTCTTTGCTCGTTCCACCTTTGAAATGGTACGTTTCTATTGGTGCTGTCTGATACTAATGCCATCCAGATATCCTGCTCAACATTCCTGTGTCTGCCGTGCCTCTTCTCAAGAACCCCCAGGCCCATCCGCATGCCATAGCGACACTCACAGATCTCGGCCTTTCTCGACGCATCCCTGCTCCACCTGAATCTCCTCTCCTAACAACTCGATGCGGAAGTGAAGATTATGCAGCCCCAGAGATTTTGCTCGGCCAGCCCTACGATGGCCGCTCCACTGATGCCTGGGCGCTTGGCGTCGTCTTGTATGCTTTGATGGAGGGTCGCTTACCGTTTGACCCCCCGCCAGGCAAAGCCGCCTCGCGTAGCAGAGCCGCCCACCGCATTGCCCGATGCGACTGGTCGTGGGTCAAGTTTGGCGACGAGGACGGCGAGTGGGATGCCGAGAAAGGCAAAGAGTGGGCCGGTGCACGTGAATGCGTCGAGGGTCTCTTGAAAAAGGTCTCGCGTGGCCGCAAGAGTCTGGAGGATATCGAGAAGACGGAATGGGTACAGCAGGGTATTCAGGTCGAGGGTGGCTTGAAGACACGGCCCGAAGATGAGGTTTCAGAAGAGATTTCTACCGAGATACCCCAGAGGTGATCGTTATGAAAGCTAGGATTTTTTTTCCATCTTCTTGCCATCTTTTTTTTGCTGAACCCCCAAACCCTCTTACTGGGGCTTATAAGGTGATTCTTCTATTCAATTTTCGACTTCGCCATTTCTACAGAGATGCGCGNGGNGGGGGGGGGGGGTTTGCTGACATGACGGGGAGGAGTGTCATAGACTTGTGTGTGTGTGTTCACCAGAGAGAGATGGTATTTGGTGTAAATTAGGAAACCGTACAATTTGTGCCCGTGGCTGCTGTTTTCCCATCACCCATCACCACCCATCATCACCCACACCCATACTCTCTGCCATACCCCCCCCCCCTTTTTTTTTCCCCTGTTTTGTTTTCCAGCGCGACAAAACCTTATCTTTCTTACCTTCGCTTCCTTTTTTTGCCTCTTTCACTTGCATTATCGATATCCCCATAACCTTTTTTTATCTTTTCTTCTTCTATCAAACGTTTTCGCTGATCTTGTTTTTTTAAAATCTTTCTTCCTTTTCTCTCTCCTCCTCCTTTTCAAAGCCGGCTTTTTTTTTCTTCTTCTCTCTCTCTTTTCTTATCTCCACAAAACGGCTGGTTAAAACATTTATATATCTCTCTCTTCAATCGAAAAAAACTCTCAAGAACAGGGGGTTTTTTTTCCTTTCTTATCTGCTTATCTGAATCTTTTTTGTGTCATTTTGGTTCGCGGACCGGATGTGTGTGCGTGTGTCTTTTTTGCGGTTTTATATTTTAGAGGAATATGCAAAAAGAAGAATGAGAAAGTGCGCAAAATTTGGTAAAGAAAAAAAGGAAAAAAAAAGTGATTGGATTGAGTTTTATGTGCGTGCATGTTTGGCGATTTGGGGGACTTGCTGGTCTTTTTTGAGTTCTACTTTTGGAATCTTTTTGTGATTGAATGCTTGTTTGTGGTTGCTTTTTTGGAAGGGGGGAAGGGGTGTCAGAGTTCGAGGGCTAGGGATTTTCTTAGCTTTGGATAGGGTAGAAAAAAATCAATGTTTGCGAGGGGGGTTTTTTTTCCTTCGCTGACGGAGTTGGTGTGGTGATTTTTTTGTGGGTGTGGGTGTGATGGAGGCGTCATTACAATGGTGTCTTGATAGATGTGTAAGCTTTTTTTTGTGTGTGTGCCTGATGTGAATGTGTACGTTTAGTTCTTGGAATGGAATGAATGTTTGAAAAATTAGGGATATATACGCATGTTAGTTTTCGAGGGTAGTTTCCAAGCGTAGAATTGTTTGAGTCTCATCATAGACAAGTGTCCTTGATTTTTCCCATGTCAAAAAATCCCACAACAGACTAATGTTTTGATGAATGGTATTGCTCTAACATTTGAACCTTTACCTCTAGCTAGGCTATATCGTCCAAACCTCACCACCCCCATCCATTTGCCAAACCTCTCGTTCGCTCTCACCAATCTCGTCCATGCTACGACTTAGGAAAGTGCTTACTATTAAACTCGTCCACAATCTCCCTCGCCGCCTTAACAATCTCTACCGCACCCGGCGAATCCGAATGGCAACAAAGCGAAACCTCGTAATCACCAACCGGCAATTGCACCTCCTCACCCGTCACCGCCGTCACAGTCGCATTCTCCACCTGACTCCTTACATGCCTCCTCGTCTCATCCGGATGCCACGGCCTATTCACACTAGTTAGCATCTTACTACATACAAAACACCATCCAAGCTCAAACCTCGGGGAAAGAGAAAGATAAAAAAAAAGGGAAAACATACTTCTTCTTCCGATCAATAACCAACGTCATATCCTTATTATACTTAACATCCCCATACAACTCCGCCACAAACCCCAACCCCATCTCCCTCGCCACACGCTCATGCGTCGTCCCCGCCAACCCAAACACCGTCGTTCCCCGCGGAACCCCTGCGTACACCGCTCGGCAAACCGTCTCGTCCCGGTACATCATGCCGTAGAGTACGCCGTGCGGCTTCACGTGGTTCAGCGGCATGCCTTCGGCGTCGAGGAAGGCTTGGAGGGCGCCGACTTGGTAGCGGGTGAGCGCGGTGAGTTCTTCGGGTGTCATGGAGATTTCGCGGCGTCCGAAGCCTTGGATGTCTGGCAGGCCGGGGTGTGCGCCGACGAGTATGTTGTGGGATTTGCAGAGGAGGATTGTGTTGTGCATTATTAGGGGGTCGCTTGGTGCATTTTTTGTTAATTGTGTGTAGAATCTACATTATTCTTTTGGGGGAGGTTGAGGATTTAGTGGAGATGGATATGGGGGGGGGGGGGGGGAATGAGAGGGTGAGATTTTGAAAAGTAACTCACCCGGCGTGAAAGCCGCATGCTACATTTGCGTGGTCAATCAGTGGGATTAATTCTTCATCTGGTCCGCATTTGAAGTTTCCGTAGCCTTCACCTAGATCGACGTTGATTTTGACGGGGTGCTTGATCGCTGGCATTGTTGCTGTGATAACCGTGCTTTCTTTGGTAAAAAAAAACGCTCGAGGTCGCACAACAAATGTTTGATAAGTACACGCAGTCAAGTAAACTAATATAAATTAAACATTCTTCATATCCAACAACTATCACCCTACAAGCTATCTCCACTCTTACTCCACTCACCCGTCACACCTGCAGCGTCATTTGTCTCCAAACTTTGTTATCGACCCCGCTTCTCTCTTGTACGTTGCCCCGCTGACGTAGGCATCCCGTGTCGATTCGACATTACCCAATGCAGCCATGTGCGGCCGTGTGCCGCGCGCCAATTGCGAAAAGGATTCGTCTCCAACTACGAGAGGGGCTGAGGGTTTCCCGCGGATGCGGAGGGAGGCGGAAGGGGGAAGGCGGGGTCTCTTGGAGATGGTACGACGCTGATGGGTAGATTGGGGCTCCAACGACGCGACGTCGATAAAGTGGTCCCCATCCTCATGACGGATAACATGATGCAACAATTGTAATTTTTGAATATTTATTTGATTGTTTTTGTATAAGATGGAGAAGCTAAAGACGCTGCTTATTGCGAATCGTGGTGAGATCGCGGTACGTATGTAGAAAAGACAAAGTAGTATTGCCACATACTACCTACGCAAGGCTTCCGTTGTTTATCGATACAAAGTTGACTGACTTGACATGAATGTATGATATAGGTCCGCATATGTAAGACGGCGAAGAAGCTCAACATCAAGACTATCGCCATCTACTCCGAGGCCGACGCTGCGTCCCAGCATGTGCGGGATGCAGATGAAGCAGTACTACTTCCCGGCAACAATGCAACAGCATACACAGACGCAGATGCCGTGTTGCAAATAGCAAAAGACAAAGGCGCAGATGCTGTTATTCCCGGCTACGGCTTTCTATCAGAAAATGCGGATTTCGCGCGACTAGTTGGTGATGCGGGGATTGCGTGGGTGGGACCATCACCTGAGGCGATTGAAGCGTTTGGTGTCAAGCATACTGCAAGGGAACTTGCAGAGGCGGCGAGCGTACCCATTGTACCAGGAACAAAGGGCCTGGTTGAAAATGAAGAAGAAGCTGCGAAAGAAGCTGAGCGGATTGGGTTTCCTGTTATGCTCAAGGCAACAGGGGGAGGTGGGGGTATGGGACTTATCACGTGCAACAAGGTTGAGGAGGTGCGGGATGGATTTCGTATGGTGCAGTCGAGAGGAAAGACGCTATTCAAGAACCCTGGTGTCTTTATCGAGGCGTTTTACCCGGCTAGCCACCATATCGAAGTCCAGGTGTTTGGCAACGGCCAGGGCCAAGCGATACATTTTGGCGAGCGAGAGTGCTCAATTCAACGCCGCCACCAAAAGGTTATTGAAGAGTGTCCGAGCCCTTTTGTTGAGAAACACCCCGAGTTGCGCAAGAAGCTGGGTGATGCTTCTGTGCGGCTTGCGGAATCTATCAAGTATGGGTCTGCAGGCACGATTGAGTACTTGGTCGATGACAAGTCTGGAGATTTTTTCTTCCTGGAAATGAATACGAGATTGCAGGTTGAACATGGTATTACGGAGCTGTGCTACAAAGTTGATTTGGTCGAGCTTATGCTTAAGCAGGCGGATGCACAGCTTGCTGGGAGACATGGGTTGGATGGCAAGACGTTGAAAGATATGCAGCCTGCGGGTCCTTCTGGAGCGGCTATTGAGGCGAGGATATATGCTGAGAACCCGCTCAGAGATTATGCTCCTTCGCCGGGTTTACTGCAGAAGGTTCAGTGGAAGGATGTCCCTGGTGGGCGCATTGATACGTGGGTGTTTACAGGTGTAAGGATTACGCCGAATTATGGTATGTTCGTGCATATGATATTCTTCCCCATTCAAACTGGACCATAAACTGACGGTTTACAGACCCCCTCATAGCCAAGACAATGGTTCATTCTCAATCCAGGGACGACGCAATCGCCTCAATGATAGATCTCCTCACACAATCCCTCATAAGCGGACCACCAACCAACCTCGAATTCCTAGTCTGTATCCTGGACGACGCTCGATTCAAAAAAGGCAACACAATGACTAGTTTCCTCAAGGACTTCAAATACACGCCCCATGCCATTGATGTGATATCAGCGGGTGCATACACTCTTGTCCAAGACCTCCCCGCAAGACCAACAGTCGGCAAAGGTGTACCTCATTCCGGACCAATGGATCCAATAGCCTTCCAAATTGCAAACATGCTTGTGGGAAATTCTCGGACAAAAGAAGCCTTAGAACTCACTTTGACGGGACCAGAGTTACGATTCGTAGGTCCGGCCATCGTAGCTCTGTGCGGTGCACCAATGGAAGCAACCCTGGGCGACAACGAGTTTCCAATGTGGACAAGCGTGAAGATTGAGGCTGGACAGAAACTCAAGATTGGAAAGACAACTGGCGGTGGCTGCCGCTCTTACCTAGCTATCTACGGCGGGTTTCCTTCAGTGGTAGATTACTTTGGCTCAAAATCGACGTCCCCGCTTGTTGCTATTGGGGGATACCAGGGCCGCGCGCTTGCACCGGGTGACTTGCTGCAGATAACAGACAAAATCCCAGAGTTATTCACAAGCATATCGCTTCCTGAGCATCTCCGCCCAGCGTACAAGTCGAAATGGGAGATCAGGGCCATGGTTGGTCCACATGACGAAGGCTATTTCGATCCAAAATTCATTGAGCAAATCTACAATACCGATTGGAAGGTCTCCCACAACGCTTCTCGAAGTGGTATTCGTCTGGTTGGCCCAGTACCAAAATGGGCACGCAAAGATGGTGGCCAGGGTGGTGCTCATCCAAGCAACCTGATTGAATATGGATATCCGCTCGGTACTTTGAACTGGACAGGAGATGACCCGTGTATATTTCCGGTCGATTGTCCAAACTTTGGTGGCTTCACGAGCAGCACGACGATTATCAGGGCAGACTGGTGGAAACTGGGACAACTCAAAGCAGGAAATACTATTCGGTATATCCGTGTTGGGCTCGAAGATGCGTTGAAGAAGCGAAAGTGGAACGATAATTTCTTAGACTCTGTTGAGAAGGCTATCAAGAGCGGAGGCGCATTCCAGGCGATTGAGAAGCTGCAAGGCGCGCATTGCGACTTCCATATGGGTGATATTGGAAAGGCTGTTATATGGGAAAAGCCAGAGGACGCCAGCACTCCTCAAGTCAGATATCGTCAAGGAGGAGATGATCACCTTTTGATTGAGTACGGAAACGAGAACTTTGATCTCAATCACCGGTGTCGTGTCACGGCTCTTGAAAATGCTATCCGCTCCGAGTCGACTCCAGAAAGCATCAGATCCAATCTCTTCAACACAGTCGGATGCTGCACCTCCCTCCTCCTTTTCTACGATGGCTCTAAAGTCCCCCGAGCAGATCTAATCGCCCACCTCCAGTCCATCGAGTCCCAACTCGGCGACCTCCGAAGCACAAAAGTTCCCACTCGCGTCTTCAAACTCCCCATCTCCTTCGAGTCCAAACTCCAAGACGAAGCAACCCAACGCTACATGACCAATCAACGCCCACACGCCCCCTACCTCCCGGACAACCTCGCCTTCGTAGCAAAAAACAACGCTCTAACCCCCCAGCAACTCAAACAGATTTACCTCACTGGCCAATTCATGGCCGTCGTCGTCGGCTTCTTCTGCGGCAATACTGTTTCCCTCCCCGTCGACCCCCGCCACCGCATCTCCGCACCCAAGATGAATCCCAGCCGCGTCTTCACCCCCGAAGGCACCGTCGGCTGGGCTGGAAGCTGTATGTCCATCTACCCGGTCGACTCACCAGGCGGCTACCAAATGACCGGACGCACAGTCCCCTGCTGGGACTACTACTCCTACAAACCCGGGTTCGACGGCAAACCCTGGATCTTCCGCGACTTTGACATTCTCACCTTCTACCAAGTTAACGAGCAGGAGCTGGATGAGTTACTAGGACGGTTTCGCGCGGGAAAGTACGAGTGGGAGTACAAAGAGGTTGAGTTCGATATGGCGGGGCATAATGATGTGTTGGAGAAGACGAAAGAGGAGGTTAGGACGATTAGGGAGAAGCAGGCGGAGGCGCAGGAGGAGATGAATAAGGCGGAGCACGAGAGTTTGGAGAGGTGGAGAAGGGAAAAGGCGGAGAGTGGGGTTGATGAGGGGACGGTGGAGAAGTTGCTGGATAACCCCAATATTGTGGGTGTGGAGGCGCCGGTTGATGCTAATGTGTGGAAGGTCGAGGTTAAGGAGGGGGATGTGGTTGGGGAGGCGACGGTGGTAAGTTACAGTCTTAATTTCTTTTGTCTTGTTTGCATCTGCAACAGTCGTGCTAATAGGGTGGTCAGATTGTCATTCTCGAAGCGATGAAATTGGAAATCGCAGTCAAGACACCCGAGTCTGTGGCTAAAGCGGGCAAGATCCAGGTCGAGAAGGTACTTGTGAAACCGGGTGATACTGTGAGTGCCGGTGGGCATTTGGCATTGTTGAGGAAGGAGTGAGACATGTAAATACAGTTTATCAAGTTCTTCATTTCGTATTGGAATTGGCACATCATCATACTTAATTTCCCACACTTCCCCACTCACTCTCAGGATAAACCCTCTTAACCTTGTACCATCCCCCCTCCGCCTTCTGTACACTCCCCATAACTCTCTTTGACCATTCTGTACTCACGCTCTCCTCAATCTGCTTCCACGGCAGCTCCTCACTCGCAAATTCATGCAGCGCGTAGTACTTTGGCACTTTCCCCATATCATCCGAGGGCTGAAGCTGGTTGAGCGTGTACGCAGTCTTGACCTCGTAGCGCCGTGAGCGAATGAAGCCCGGCATGCGGGAGAGCAGGGGGATATGCTCTTCGCGGTACCATTTGTCAAAATCGGCGGTGGAAGCGGTGTCGGAGGGGGGCTCGAGAGCGCCCGAAATGATGAATTTTGCGGGGCCTAAATCATACGTTTAGAATGGTAATTCCTTCTCTTCATATTTCCACGAATGAAGCTGCAATGGGAACAAAACGACCCAGTTCTTGTTTTTTCCATCTCACGTGAGATGAAATGAGATTGAGAGAAAACGTACCATTCTCCTTCGCCTTTTCACCCTCAAAAATCTGCACTTGCTCGTAGAACCGAACAGAAAACTGCACATTCTCGTAGATAGTCTCAATTTCCTGTTTGGTCGGCGGATTGCGTTGAGCGATATCCTTGAACCCGTCCGATTCGCGAAACCCCACCATGTCCGGGAGTTCGTAGACTACCTGTTGATTACTTAGAACCCAATTCCCAAAGACAAGGAAAACCTCTCGCCATGTTCGCATGAGAAACGTGTGATATAGCTACTTGCCGTATTTTTACGTGTCACAGACAACGAAACGAAAAGCAAACAAACAAACGTGAATAAAGCGACAAGAAAACTTACCAACCAAGGCATCTCACTACTATACGTCTTTTCCTCCCCTCCATCCTTTACTGGGCGTTCCATAGCTTGGTACCTCACTGCGGCTACAGCACCAGGCAATTTGAGGACATCTTTGATATGATCCTAGACAGCACATTCAGCGTCAGCTTCTTAACACCAGTTCATTTACCACTCTTCTTCCTTCAAACAATTCAATTTTGCAAGCAAAAGCATAAAAACGAGAAAGTGGGCGTGGGAAGACAAGAAAAAACGCATACATTCTCATACCAATCCGAATACTTATCCACCGAAAGCCGCTCCGGATACGTAATTCGCGATGAGACCCACATGATACCTGGCGCCATCTTTCCTTTCTTTTCTCTTTTCCCTTTTGCACAAATTCCGAATCACCTAAAACCAAGTAAATGAGTATTGCGGTAGCCAACTCCAGTAGACACGGTGGACTTTGCGGGAAAACGATAATGACCCCGCGTACTAGCGTGGCGAAAGTCATCTCCACTGTCTGAAACCTAGGGTTTGTTAAGTGGGCGGGGGGCTGGGATTCGTGGTGACATGGGTAAGGATGTGGAGACGGACGGGGACGGGTGTGTGTGTGTGACCAGCTTCGTGGAAACACGTATCTCCAAAGTTCGTTACTATTGCGGTAACTGCGGCTTTCCACACCCCTCGTTTCCCCCCTTCCAAACAAAATGCTAGTATACTGATAATCTTTTTTTCTTCTTTGTACTTGGAACATTCACACGGCACGCGGTCCGACTTAAACAAGAAAAAAAAACCCTAAATATTCGAATTTGCATGCAAAATATTTCGACTCGATTTGTTTAAACATCCCTCTCTCCCTCTTCCCGTGCCTCCACCCCACTCCGCGCTTCGTTATTGTTTTAAACCGAAATCAAAAAAAAATCAGTGGGTATCGGACCGATATCGAAACAAGAACGAATACAAAAAAAAACCCCCCTCCCACGTTGCCAAATCCATATCGCTAACGGCGTGGATGGGGAAAAAAATCTCCGGAACCAATGATAAATCCTCCTCACCCGATCCCTGCTCAAGTACTACACCTCAAAAAGAACAACAAACCACCACCACCAAAAAAAAGATAGTTCGCAAAGGTATAGACCAAAAAGTTCGCTGAATCGCTTCTTCAAATTAAAGCTGCGTTCGATCCTCAACTACTCTTTTTTCCTAAAAAAAAATCTTTCCTCTCCCTACCCTTCCCTACTTTCCCTTACTTCCCACAAACCGCGGCAACGGATGTCTTTGTTTCCAAGAAAAGCGAACGAGAAAAAAAAACTTCAAGCACAGTCCGCCCCCTTTAGTCTAATATGATACAAATGCTCTCTTTGCCCCCCTTCTCTCTCTTTCCTTTGACAAGAAAAAAAAGGGACAAAAGTTGTTGTGAAGGAAGAGAAGTATGAATGAAGTGAACCTCCTCCGCCCCCGTCCCCCGTTGACCTCCTCCCCTTCCATTGCCATCACCGATCCGCGGCTCAACCAAGGCAACAGTTGTCATGCTTTGCCTGGCTCGATTCCTCTTTTTTCTCTTTCTCTCTCTGGGTTTCATGCTCGAGACTGCGCAGTAGTAGCCTTGATTGAATGCAATAGCGTCGGTTACAGTGCAGATGAACTGCGTAAACGTCTGCCGCCACTTCATTTAGCATCGTATTTTTGAGAACAGAGAACTTGACGCTAAATTTCTTTTACTGATTATATCGTTGCGTCTAGCTCTTTTCGGAGCCGTGTGGGACATCAAGTGACTGCTTTGCGTTTCCGGTTTGCCAAAAGTCCAGGCTGGCAATGACATCGGTGCCGAATTCATCCTCGTACGAGTATAAAATCTGGATCTGTTAGTTTTTGTTTCCACAGCGATCCATGAATCGAAACGACGTACCTCTCTTGTTGATGTATGTAGCCACCTAATGTTCTTCCCAGTGATGATGTGCACAAGACCACCACTCTCAATATGCCGAATCTCAATAAAGCTAGGCTCAAAAGCAAGGATGTATGGGTTGAAGATGGCAAAGGCCTGCGGTGTACCCTCCCAGGTGATGTCCCAGTCTGGTCGTGCTCGCCAGCCGTTGCGGTTGACAAAGAATGAGCAGTCTGTGTAGCACAACAGGAATTCGCTTGCCATGCGCTCAATGTGAATTGGCTTGATGTTCTCCTTCCGCAGAACAAAGTCGAGGGATGTGTCGGCCTGGTCAAGAAGTGACTGCGTTTCGAGTGTTTCCAGACTGACGACTTCAAAACCACGTGCGCAACCAACGCAGAGCTTGGAACGCAAGAAATGAATGGACGTCGACTCCGTAGGAATGTAAAATTCTTTGTAGGGCTTGAGTTGATCGGCGCCACCTGTTGATAGCATCATCTTTGCGAAACCAGACTTCTTGTTCTTGTTGCTCATCTGCTCCTTGGGTTCGTATACCTTGATTGTAGTCGACAGCGCCGACGTCTTGACCGCAGCGACCAATTGCTGGCCCAGGCAAATGCCAGCCTTGAAGAAGTTGGCATGGCAAATCTTTCGGGGACGCTTGGCCATGGCTTGCGACTCGTCAGGCTCCAGGGCATCGGTCGAGTAGGAGTATAGAGTTTTGTCGGCCAAGACCAGCACAATAGCATGTTGCTCGAGAACTTCGATCTGGGTAACGCCCTTGCAGTCCAGTACACGACGAGGACGTATCGAGGCATCTTTTGGCTTGCGCTCCACAATAAATACACCATTGTCCGTTCCAAGGGCCAGTTTGCGACCACCATCTGCATCATGTTAGTATTTGACTTGGTCAAACTTGATATGTACTCACCCAGAGGAACAGCGCAGGTAACCCGGATAGTAGTAGGAGAGTTGAGGGAGAAGGGTCCCTCGTGGATGATAGTCTTGGTGAAGATGTTACTGCGCTCCCTCAGATTTCGCTGCTGTGAATCAATGTGCTCCATCCATTTTTGCTGGGAGATTGGCGTGCTCGCAAAGAGAGTCAGTTCATATCCACCCTTTCCAAGACGCTTAAAGGTAATGGGGTAGCCTTGCTGTTTGGGATCGTTGTTCTTTGGGGTTGCCGCAGCAATGGCCTTGCCAGCAATCAAGTTTGCTGAAGGTCTCTTTGCAATGCCCAGCTTAGGGTTAACTTCCTCCATTTGCGTGATGACCAAAAGTTCCAGAGGTATTGGCTTCTTGTAGACCTTTTGCTCCTCACGTTTGTTCACAGTCTTCGCACGCACCAACAAAACAGCATGGTCGAAGAGGTAGCAAGTAATGTCGCCAGTAGCTTCAGTCGGGGTCTTCTTCAATGTGCCCTTGAATACCAACTGTCGATTCTCATCCGTCAACTTCAAATCGACAAACTCACCCTGCCTGAACTTGAGATCCTTGTTGAGCTGCATAAGGTTGAAGTGGTTTTCTGCCTTGCCGGACTCGATGTTGACCTTTGATAGCGTGTCTTTGATGATGCTAATCACCTTGGGAATATCTTCTTTATCCGGGTTGTCATCCGCGGTGTACTTGACAATGTTCTCCAAAAGCAGTGGATATCTGGCCAACCTCGTGGTTGGCTTAGTAAGGTAACCGTTGAGCTCCAGCTTTCTTGATTCCTTCATCCTCTCGACTTCGTCGACGAATTTGGCAAAGCCTGGGTTGGTGCGCTTTTCATGCTCAAACTCGTACTTACCGAAGAGCTGGTTAGCACCGTACTTGATGAATGGCGCAAAATGAGGTACAAATTCCAGGAAGATGTCTCCAATGTTTCGGACAACAGCCTCCTTTTGCTGGCGTCTGGTAAGTTGCTCGGCCATGCGGGAATTGACCATGTAGACCTCTTGGCAGTTGGAAAAGACGGTACGGACAAACTTTTCGCGGCGGTGCTCGGGAATTGGTGATATCGCGGGGTTGCGCAGGGGCTTCATCCAGAAGTCTCTAAGGTACTCGAGATCCTTGACGAAATCGCGCTCAGTATACATAAGCTCGGAAATGACCTCTTGTCGCTTTTGCTCCTTCTCCGACACACTGTCCGAAATTTCTTTTGGTACGGTATTAATCCACAGTTTCTGCTCTTCTTGGTCTTTTTCCTCGTGCAAACTTGCTCTGGATTCCTCGCGCTTGAGACCGGGTTGAATGCGCATGTTGAGACGGGCTTGCTGCTCCAGACGGCGTGGGCATGCAATTGAGTAGCACAGACGGTCACGTGTACATGTGGGAGAGTAGCACTCGGTCAATAGAGTGAAGACTCCGTTGATCTCAGACTTGTCCTCCACCATGGTCTCACGGAACTGGTATATCTCGTTCGTCGAATCTCGCAGGCGGTGCGCGTACGTAACATCGTGGAAGAACTTTTGCGCATCAAGGGACCGGCCCAAGAGGAGCGCTAGATTACGGTCGGTAGTCTTGATAATGAAAGAGATGAGATCAACTGCATCTGCACCCGTAAAAGCACTCTTGTAAACAAGACCATCTTTTTCCTTGTCAGAAAGAACCACTCGGTCTTGGAAGGTATCGGCAACGCGAGATAGCAGGGCAGGGTAGACCAGAGGTGCCCGTCGCTGGGCAGCAGGCGCTTGTTGCGCGGGGACGAGCGAAGTCATGGACTGGTTGGAAGTCCTATTGTTGCTGGAGTTGCTTCCAAGTGTTTGAGATGAGTCTGGGCGAGAGCTAATGGACGTCATAGTGCTGGTACGCTCCGAAGGAGGCACAATTGTGGATGCCATGGACATTGAGCGGGATTGATTCGACATGCTTCCTTGGCTCACACTCCTAGGATTGGACGGCAGTCCCATGTTTGGGTGTTGGGGGTGACCGTGCGGTCCACTTGACATCTCAGATTCACCAGATTCTCGCCTTCGACTTGGTATGATTCTACCGCTCATTGTCTGTGTATACTCGGGATCCCTTGTGTACGAGGTCATGGACATTGTCCGTTCATCGGGCCGTTCTGGTACCACGCGTCCTTGTGCTGTAGTCCTGGCCATGTGGTTCATATAAGGCTGCTGACGGAACGTGTTTGCGGGGGACGGATGGGATGGTCCACCAGGGTTGAACTGTGGTCGTGGGTTCAAGGCAAGTGATTGTGAACGGTAAGGATCCGAATTCATTGCAGGACCTGGACCGCCGGGAAAGCGATTGGGAATGGGCTTGTTGTAAGGGGGCTGGCCAGGAGGAGAGATGCGGGAGTCGAAGCGCTGGGGCTGGCCGTATGGCTGGCGCTCAGGGCGAAGGGGCTGTGGCAGGTACTGAGGCTGCGGCTGGCGCTGCTGCTGCTGCTGCTGCTGCTGTTGCCCGTCAGGATATCGCGGGTGCTGACCGTAACCGTTTGGCATAGGGCGATTATAAGCATTCGGCGGATCTATGGGGCGCTGCTCTCCGAGACTTGGTCCCGTGCGCTGATCGTACTGTGGGTGAGGACGACGATCGTAGCCGTTGACGGGCTGGCGAATTGGCGGGGCGCGCTGCATCATGTCGGCCGTCTGGCTGGACATTGTGGCAGCGCGGTCGGGGATGTTCCTGTGCGACTGCGATGTCATGGTCTGGGAGCGGCCGGCCATGGACGGGCTGGCGCCGAAGATATTTGTGAAGGCGGTTTCCCTTGCGCCCGAGGGCTGGCCATGGGTTTGGCCGCGCGCATAGTCCGGCCGCTGCTGGTTGCCGTAGTCGGCCATGTCTCTTCAATCTACAGCGGATCTAGCCTGTCGCGAGCATTCGCAGCGCTGCTGGGGCGAGGCGGTGGGCGTTGGCGGGCGGTGGACGTGAACGAGGGCTTTTTGATACAAGGGATTCGGCGGCGTGGCCGGGGCAGCAGAGCCGGCACGAGGGGGCGCACGAGTCGAGGCGACTGATGGGCACGGCGGCAAGTCACGCTTGTTGTTTTTTCACTTGAACGAGGGCGTGCTGGCGAGCGAGGGCGGGTGTGGGCGTGGACAGGGCGGCGGGGTGTTGCAGAGAAGGGTCAACAGGGCCACCGCTCCGGCAGTTGAGGGAACAAGCCGCCCAGCGAGGGGGGAGGGGGAGGCAGCGGGTGCGAGGAGCCCGTGGTGAGGATAAAAACGGCGGCAGCTGGCGAGTGGTAGGTGTGGCGCGGGCAGGATGGGGGTTGCAGGTCGACTATGGGGTAGCGTTGGCTGAGGGGGGAGGGGGGCGCTGGCCGGCTTTCCTCGCAGCTCGCGACGTTGGGGAGAATGGCGGTGGTGCAGGTGTTGGATCGGCATGCGCTTGGCATCCAGAGCCCTCCTCACCAACCGCCTGGCCGCATCCCAGCTGTCTCCGACGACGCCTCCACCACCACGACCCACGCCTACACAACCCTCCATCCATCCCCCTCTGTCGCGAGCATCACAGGCACCATGTCTTCCAACGAGCTCGCCCCGAGCTTCGCGCCTTTCTTTGGCATGGTGAGTGCCCCCGGCCGCGCCCGTGTCATGACTTCATAGCTAACAGCCATGCAGAGCGGAATCGCGTTTGCAGTGAGTAGCTCCTCGCCCCCGTTGCAGCTGGCCGACTAATGTACCAACCTCGCCTAGATGATCTTTGGATGTATGCCACCCCCGGGACGCGTAGTCAAGCTGCACAGGAGCTAATCGAAGCAGGCGCCGGAGCTGCCTATGGCACCGCCAAAGCTGGCATCGGCATTGCTGGTATCGGAACATACAGGCCAGACCTGATCATGAAGGTGCGCCGCCCTGTGTCCGCCCATAGAAAGCTTCATCTAACTTGGCCAGTCGCTCATCCCCATTGTCATGTCGGGTATCTTGGCCGTCTACTCACTCGTCATATCCGTCCTCATCGCCAGCGACATCAAGCCCCCGCCCAACAACACGTATTCGCTGTATGCTGGATTCATGCACATGGCTGCCGGATTGTCAGTTGGTTTGTCGGGTCTGGCTGCAGGATACGCCATCGGAATTGTGGGCGACGCTGTATGTCCAGTTGTTAAGAGATGGTGGAAAAGAGAGAGAAAGGCTAACTGCAGCAGGGCGTGCGTTCCTTTATGAGCCAATCGCGAATCTTTGTCGGCATGGTGCTCATTCTCATTTTCGCAGAAGTCTTGGGTCTTTACGGGTACGTCTCCCAAGCCAGAACACGCCAACATGGTCAGCGCGCGCGTGCAACAAGGACGGCGCTATGCAGACTGCACGATTGCTCATGTACTGACTGGACTAGACTGATTGTTGCCCTCATTCTCAACACGCGGGCAAGCGGCTGAGCGGACAGGGAAAGGATTATTTGTATTGTACGACTACAAGGTGTAGAAATACTCGATTGAGCCTGCAACACATTGGCGTTTGGGGTGGGGAACTGGCGCAGGTCAAGAGAAGGTGCAGGCCACATGGGCACTTTAAGGCGATTTACGCGGCCTGGGCAAGAAGGAGAGCTTTTGGATCAGAGTTATATATATAGGCATTTGTGCATGGCGGCAGTTGGGGCGGGTAGAGCCCTGCATGTGAAGTAGCGGTATCAATTTGAAGGCCGGCAAGCACGCCGAGAGCAGCGTCGGGCGCGGAGTTTGTCGAGTTTAGTGTGAATGCGACGAGCCGTTATTTGCAGCGTACGTACCGTGGTTCATGCACATGCATGTCGGATGATTCAGGGCGGCTTACGGTAAGCCGCAAGACATCAGCTGCCAGCGAGACCCGGATGCCGCCTATTGCTACCCCACGGCGGCTGGTGTTGCCAGAGCATGCTCTATTTGCGTATTACACATGTAGCAAGTACCGCAAGTAGTTGGGCACAGCAACCAGGCCAGGGCCGGCGGGTAGCGTGGGCTGGGGCGAACAAAGGGATACTGCAAGCGGCCAAGACGACTGGACCACAGCGGGCCGGCTTACTTGCAAGGCAGGGCAGGGCGTGTATTCGCTATTCGCAGAGCCCACCAGGGTTCGGCCGGCGAGTGTTGCATGTTCCCCACGCCCGGTGCGTCATCTTTTGCAGCAATGCCCTCGTCCTAGGACCCCCGCTATCCTCCTGTCGCGCCCGCGCCCGCTCCCTCGTGCCCATCCTATCCCACCCCATCTCTCTCCAGCGCCCACCAAGGAAGGCCCATGATTGTGCTCTGCCACCTGCCTGGCTGCTCTGCCTAACCCCAGGCCCGCCCTCCATCCACGCTTCCTGCCCCGTTTGCCCACCATCCACGCAAACACTGCCATTGACCCGTCGCCGACTGCCCGTGTCTGCCATGTGGTGCCTCTGCTACTGAGCCCTGCCACAAGAACGGAACCCGCCTCTCCGCTCCCTAATTCCCTCATCCCCTCGCTCCTGGCTTCCTCGCCCACTGCGGCCAAGAGCTAGCTCCCCCCATCGCCATGGCGACTGCCTTCAAAAACATGCTCCACCCGCTGCACCACCATCGCGACAAGAAAGAACCGCCCCATTCCGGTCCCCTGCACGACCGTACCGACTCGGCCATGGACAAGCCGCGCGAACAGGAGAAGCAGCAGTTGGCGCTGTGGGAGGCTCAGAAGCACACCCTCACCCCCGAGGAAATCGACATTGACCCTCAGAAGAAGCCCGTCGGCCACTCGTCAAAAGTGCTGCGAGAGGAAGACTTTGAGCTCATCAAGACGCTCGGAACCGGCACCTTTGCGCGCGTCTGGCTCGTGCGACTCAAGGACGCAAAGCCCGGCGACGAGAACAAGGTTTTTGCTTTGAAGATTCTACGCAAGGTGGACGGTATGCACGCCCCGCAACAAGTGACCACTGCGCTGCCGCTGACCGCCTCGTCTCAGTCATTCGTCTCAAACAAGTCGAGCACGTCCGAAACGAGCGCAATGTCCTCGCAAAGGTCGCCGGCCACCCCTTCATAACCACCATGGTCGCCAGCTTCCAGTCACTCGATTCGCTCTACATGGTAGTATGTAGTCGCATATACGAGCAAGAGTTGGCAATCGCTAACAACTAAACCAGCTCGACTACTGCCCTGGCGGCGAAGTCTTCAGTTATCTGAGAAGAGCACGGCGCTTCAACGAGCCCACTTCGCAGTTTTATGCTGCTGAGATTGTGCTGATATTGGAGTTTCTACACGAGCGCGAGGGCGTGGCATATCGTGATCTAAAACCAGAGAATATCCTCATAGACGCAGAGGGTCATCTCAAATTGGTAGATTTTGGGTTTGCGAAAAAGGTAGACAACAGTAAGTTACGTCATTGGTCGCATGGGGGGAGTGGAGACTGACAGCTCGCCTAGGGGAGACGTACACGCTCTGTGGTACTCCCGAGTACCTGGCTCCCGAGGTCATTCGTAATACAGGTACGATCTGCACCACACATGCTATTGGTACCCCACTGACGGAATATCAGGCCATGGCACAGCAGTCGATTGGTGGGCATTTGGCATCCTTGTGTACGAATTCCTCGTTGGGCAACCGCCCTTCTGGGATCAGAATCCTATGAAGATCTACGAACAGTATGTTTCAAAATACGAGAATATGAGGTTTATGCTAATTTTTTTGTAGAATTGTAGAAGGACGCGTCCGCTTTCCGTCTGCAATGTCACCGACTGCACGGGATCTTATCTCTGGCCTCTGCACCGTCGACACCTCTAAGCGTCTGGGAAATGTCGCTGGTGGTGCTCAACGTGTCAAGGACCATGAGTGGTTTAAAGACATTGACTGGCAGAAGATATATAACCGCGAAACCCAAGGTCCTATAGTACCACACCTACGGGGCCCAGCTGACACGCGGAATTTTGACGAGTATGAGCCAGAGTCAGAGAACAGAGAACCATATACCAAGGAATTGAGTGACCGGTGGGAAGAGAGTTTCAAGGACTTTTAAATCAGATGTACAGAAGAGGGCGTGCCAAGAGGGAATTGTAAAGACACTCAGCATGCCAAGAGGAGAAAGGGGAAAGACAACTCAACGTGTGCTTTTTCAAGCTCAAGAATATCTACAAGAAGAGCATGTCACGCAAGAGTAGAAAGTGGGTACAAGGACTACAACCTCCCAGCCCACTGGATCCGTCTCATAAGTTCCATATACGAGCTTATCAGCAAATAGCTCGTATCCATCGAACCGTTGGAAGGAAACAGGCGCATATTCAGGAAGGTGTGGAGCGGGTATGCGAGAGCTTCGAGCTCCCATCATCATCATTACTATCATGTCTCTCTCATCTTTTCTCAATCATGAAAGGGGGGCAATATCACACATACGTTACCAGGGGACAATTCGTAGAAGTTTTGTTCTAAATGGAATTAAGAGTATTCTTCTGATACTATGTCCGAATGCATAAGGACGATCCTATGCCAACACCTTTTACTTGGAAAGAAACAACCAACATCCACATATGTTCACACCAAAGGTACTTGTAACTTTTATTTTGGTTATTAAACTTTTGGTTTTTTTTTTATTTCTACAAAAACCCTTTCCCCCCCCCTTTTTCATTCTCACCTCCGTCCAACAACCCACGAAAATATCCCCGTCCCCGTTCTCGCTTTCTTCTGCTCCCTCTGGTCTTCAATCACTATATCTTCCTCCTTCACCTCTCCATCACCATCACCATCACCATCACTATTCAAATCCTCATCATCCAGCACCCGCGGGAAAAATGTAATCTCCTCGTTCGTCATGCGGCCCCAGAGAGACTCTGTGCACCGGAGTCGCACAAAGCATGTGGCGCAGGTGCGGATCTCGTGGGTTGCGGGGTCGTGTGTGGTTAGGAGGGAGGTGCAGGAGGGGCAGCGAGGTGGTGGGGGAGGGGCTGAGGATGAGGAAGGGGTAGACATTTTTATGAGAGATTGGTTGGTGTAGTAGGAGGTGAATGTGGAATTTGATTTATGGTGATGTTGAAGGATGTATATTATGTTTTGAGTGAGGTTGGAAGTGAATTTTTGTTGGAGATGGATGGGATGGATGGGTTTGATGCAGATGGGGGAGAAGTTGAGAAGCAGGGAGGAAATACAGGGCTGGATTAGATTGTGTGAAGGGGGGGGGGGGGGGGGGG